CCAACTTCCTTTTTTATCTCGTCTTTGACTATGGATTATTTAGAAGCCTGTTATTTAGTTTCTAAATATTTGAGGATTTTCCAGAGAGATTTGTCTGTTAGTGATTTCTCATTTATTCCATTGAGGTGAGGAAATACATTTTATGGCTGGAATCATTTTGAACTTACTGAGACTTGCTTTATGGCCCAGAACATGGTCTATCCTCCTATATCTTTGTGCTTGAACAGGTGTATTGTATTCGTGGGTAGAATGTTCAATGAATGTCAGGTCAATTTAGTTGATAATGTTACTCAAGTTCTTTGTATCCTTACTGATTTTCTAACTGTTTTATTGAGAGAAGGGTTTTGAAATCTACTAAAATTGTGGATTTATTTTTTCTTACATTTCTGTTTTTGCGTCATGTATTTTGAAGTTCTGGTATTAGATGCATAAATATTTAGGGCTATTATGTTCTCTTGATGAATTGACCCCTTTATAATCATGAAAATGATGATGCCATTCTTTATCCTTGGTAATATTCTTTGCTGTAATATCTACTTTGCATGACATTCATATAGCTGTGTCAGGTGTTTTTTGATTATGGTTACATAGTATACTTTTTCCCATTCTTATGCTTTCAACCTGTTTGTGTCTTTATATTTAAGTAGTTCATGTCTTACAGATAATGTAGAGTTGGGTCTTGGTTTTTTTATCCAATGTATTAATCTTTATTTTTGAGTTTGGATGTTTAGGCCATTTACTTCAAATGTGATTACTGATATTATTATGTTTGACTATAGTCTTGCTCTTTATTATCTATTTCTTCCCATCTCTTCTTTGTTCCCTTTTTCCTCTTTATCTTCGTTTTTCTGGATGAGCTGCATTAAAAAAATGATTCCACTTTACCTCCTTTGTTGGCCTATTTGCTGTACCTGTTTGTGGTATTTTTTGGACAGTTTCTTTCTGGTTCATAGCATAGATTTTTAACTTACCACAGTCCCCCTTGGTGTAGCATCATAGCACTTAGTACAGTGAACTAGCAGTGTGCTTCCCTTTCTCGCTTGCAAGTCTTTCTGCTCTTGTTATCACACATTTTATTCATACACGTTATAAACCCTATAATACATTGTTTCCATTTTTGCTTTAAACAGTGACCCTGAGTAAGATCATGACTTGAGGCGAAATCAAGAGTTGGATGCTTAACTGACTGAGCCACCCAGGCACCCCGATCTTGGTGTTTTTTCAGAGAACATTTAACTTACAAATTTATTTTTTATGACAAGATATGTGTCGTCTTCTTGGCAATCTTACATTAAAGCCGTGGATATCATGTCAGCCATTTGTGGGAGATGCCAGCACATACGATTTATTGATAAAGTTACTTTAACGATCCTTTCAGTGTGTCAAGCTTTATAAACTCTCTCAGTTTCTTCTTGCTGGTAAGGAACAGGAGTATGCTTGCTAGAAATCAGAGTCAACTCAGGTGGGCTAGCGAAGGTAAATTCTCGTGATTCTTATTGTAGGTGGAGTAACCAGCTCTTTTCCTGAAATGAGGTTTTGTGCCTTGGTTCTTGTATGACTAGAAAAAGATCTTTATTCAAGGACTTATGCATAAAACATTTTAAACTGTATCGTAGTGCATTTATTCACAGATAATCCACATAATATGGCCTATGCTTAGCCACTGCTTAACTAACTAGGCTTTTTACCTGGCATATGTTTTACTTATCTTTTAAAGACATGACTTCGGAATGGGAGTTAGCATTTCATTATTTGACTAGGAGAGTTAAATAACAGCATTTGATAATTGAATTTTTTTAGTTAGTAGTATTTTTAAATATGCTGACTTAATACCCTTTTATATCTTTCTCCAGAAATAGAGATTTTGAAGTATTATACATTTGTACAATAAGTGTTAAGTTAAAATTTTAAGTATTGTTACTTTTTCTTAAGTGTTGGTGCTTTTAACAAAAAAGTACATTTTACAGTTTAATTATTGCTGTGACAGACCTCTCAGACAGAAGTTTAAGAAAGTGATTGTTTAAAGTTTCTTGCTGTTTAGTCTTATAGAAGATTTTCAGAATTGAAGAACTGCATGTGTTGTCCAGAGTGATCTTTTAATCAGACAATGTTAGATATTGAAATTAAATTTGAAACAACAGCATCTTTAGAACTAATCTAATACTTTGTCTAGTGCTTTGGTGCACTGTAGCAACAGGCGCCTGGATTTCTGTCTTTGGGGTCAACCTGAGATGTCCTGGGGACCAAACATATAATGAGGAGACTGCTCTCTGTCTGGGGTTTCAGATGAAGTCTTGGCCCTGACTCTCAGGATACCAAGTTGAATCCACCAAGAAGTCCTGGTGAAAGCACTTCCCATTGTTCATAACATACCTTCCATTATCCCTGTGCTAAGCGCACCCTGCTCCTCACTGTGCTCAGTGCGTGGCACCGCTGTCCCAGTGGTTCACAGGCCAGGTTCAGGGTGGCGGCTGAGTTACTAGTGAGCATGTTCGCTGCAGTCCAAAGTGGTTTGTCCCCCAGCATTCATAGAGTAGGTCACTGGGCTGTGCGAAGAAACCGTGAGAACTCCTGTTTACCTTTATCATTATTATTATTATTTTTAAGTCTGTCCTTTGTATATAATGTAAAAGCCAGTGAGTAGTACATATGTAGTTTTAAAATAATTAAATGCACATATATTGGGTATATGTGTTCTAATTTTGTTTTTGCTAATGGTGATGTATGATTAAAAATGTCTTGAGACCAGGTAAGACTTTCCTGGAGCATCTGGACAAGGGTTTTTATTTTGTGATCTGTCAGTTTTTCCATAATCAGCTTCATCATATGCAAGATTTTGTGAGTGTGCGCATTTCTTTGTTTTTCTTGTGAAAAGATTATGGCTCTCACCAGATTCTCAAAGGAGTCTTTGGTCCTAAAGATCAAATAAACTACTTATCTGGGATCCTTGGGCTGAAATCACTGAAATTTGTTTTGGAAGGGCTGTATCCTGTCTACAGATGACTTCCTAGGTAAAATTAAATGGTACTTTGTTTGAAGAATAAAATGTATAATTAGATCTGTATTCCTTTTGACAAAGTAAAGTTTTTTTGTTGATTTTTTTTCGAAGATTTTATTTGAGAGAGAGCACAAGAGAGCACGAGGCTGGGGGGCAGGGCAGAGGGAAAGGGAGAGGCAGACTCCCCACTGAGCAGAGAGCCCAACGTGGGACTTGATCCCAGGACCCTGAGATCATGACCTGAGCCAAAGGCAGATGCTTAACCAACTGAGCCACCCAGGCGCCCCAGACAAAGTAAAGTTTTATTAAGGCTTTTATCTGAGAAGCTGCAGCCATGATTATTGCCATGACTCATGATATGTGGTCTTTGTGGCATATTCTCCTGGGGTCTGGGTCCCTTTACCTTCTTTAAAAAGATATTTTATTGTATGTTTTCATTAATCTTCTCTTTAAAATATTATGGTAGATTATTGTCTCTCAAGTTCAAATACACTGGCCCTGTGTAAATGTGGCCATAAAAGAACTACTTCTTAGGACGCCTAGGTGACTCAGTTGGTTAAGTGTCTGCCTTCGGCTCATGTCATGATCCCAGGGTCCTGGGATTGAATCCGACATTGGGCTTCTTGCGCAGCGGGGGACCTGCTTCTCCCTCTGCCTGCCACTCCCCCTGCTTATGCTCTCTCTCTCTGACAAATAAAATATTAAAAAAAAAAGAACTACGTCTTGAAACCTATTTTTGTGATACTTTTGGGTATGAAGGTTTTTCTGTTGTCTATGCACTGCTTTTGTGGCGTCTGTCCCTATAACAGGTGATGGGATTGCTTTGGGTGGGGATGAGAGCTAAGTTCAAAAGTCAGCTGATAGAGTGAAATGAAGTTTGGTTACTCTTGAGATCCTTAGACCACTCAAAAAATAAAGGTGTACAGGATTTTGTTTATACAGTCCTTTATGGTTAAAATTTTATATGGCCCCAATTAATCTTCAGTTTCTTCCTTGAAGATTGTCAGCAGTCCCATCATCTGTCAGTTGACTAACTACCTGAATGCTGTTTACTTATTTATTTACCAGTGGTCAGAAAAATCCTAACATTCACATATTCTTTCCTATAAGTATTTGGCCTAGGGCACATTATTACTGAATAGGATGACTTTTGGATTATTCTTTTGAATAAAAAGACTTGTTTTTTAAAATGTGTATAGGAAATTTAAGTAACTTCAATGTATATATGAGATAACTGCCTTTCTTGGTTTGCCATTTTACTCCACAAGCCTGTGGTGTCCAACTCAGATTAATAATGTTTTTATTCCCACCTCCCCCCACCGCCAACCCAGAAAGGAATCACCCTAGTTGTTTATCTGTTTATGTAGTAACTATTATGCATGTACAAGCATTGCTCTGGGCATTAGGATTGTAGGAGTGAAAAAAAAAGTCCCTTTTCTCATAGAACTTACATACTGGTGGGGAAAGTAGGCAATAAATAAACCAGAAAGGAAAAGAAACACATGAAGTAGCACATGTTACAAAGAAATGTAATTAAGATAGATAGCCATGGAGGGTCCAGCTGTTTTCTGTAGAGGAAACAGTTGCCCTTTCCAAGGAGGGGATGTTTGACCTGGGACCTGCATGGGGAGAGGGACCAGGCAGCGGGGAGGTGGGCGCTTTAAAGGGCTGTCAGGTGTCTTCTCCGTCCTGTTTCAGTTGAGCACACTGTGCTCATTCTCTCCATGAGCTGCAGAGTGGATTTCTTGTCAGTGTAAGTGGAGTGAGTGACAAGGGACATTCACTCCAGCCTCATCACTTCCAAGACACTGTGACATGTGGAGAAAGTAGGTTAGGGCTGGCTGATGCTGTTCCACAAGGTAACAATTACATATTCTAACTAGGATCCCCACTAACAAATGAGAAAGTCCATGAAATTTGATCTGACTTGTACTTTATTTTGTAACGTTTTAAATATATTGTACCTGATTTTATTAAGGGTTATTTTATTTATTTTTAACAGGAATCACTAGATTTGATCTACTTGGAGACTTTGGAAGGTTTAATTGGCTGGGAAATTTCTATATTGTATTATCCTACAATTTGCTTTTTGCTATTGTGACAACATTGTGTCTGGTCAGAAAATTCACCTCTGCTGTACGAGAAGAACTTTTCAAGGCCCTAGGTAATCCTGAGGTTTATGGGTATTTTTCTCTCTTTCTGCTAATTTTTAATTTTGTTACTTGAATTAATTTTAAATCTTCATCTGTTCATTTTTCCTACTGTGTGAAACCATAGAGTTCCCATTTCTGACCCACTACTTACTGGTTATGCTCGTGTGTGAAATTACCTTGTTAAGCCTCAGCTTCCTTATCTGTAAAATGGTGACAGTATCTTCTTCTCTCAAGGACTGTTGTGAATATTAACTGGAATATTTCTTGTAAGGGCCTGAGCAGAGTCCTGGCACATCATAAGAGCTCAATAAAATTAGCTCTTTTGTTGTTATGATGATGGTGGTCAAGGCAAGGTGTGAGGCTAATGGCTAGAGACTTATTATTTTTTGGTAATGGTACCTCTTACAATTTTTTAGTTACAGATTTCTTTTGATTACTTGGATTTTACAAGTATCAGACTGATCCGTAATTCTCTTCAGTAAGCCAAATAACTCAGGATAAAAATATTAGTATTCTTGTCTTTAATATGAGAGAGGGCATTCATTATCATGTATTCCAAAAGTCCCATGCATTGGGACAGTCTTAAAAACTTTAGGTTTGGCTAAGGTAAAAAAAGGGTATAAATGTAACTTATGAATGAGTTTTTCATGCCCACTTCAACATTAGCACTAAACATTTTATATGTTTTTATTTTATTTTATATTTTTATAAGTTTTATTTTATATTATAGGAGTACCAGGGCTTTATAAATTATCTTGCTATATAAACCCTCTTGGGTTTGGAGTAATTTTAAATTTGGCAGTGATTTATTGTAGAAAATCCTAACATTAGGTCATTTACCTAACTTGACATCATTTGAATGCTTATACTCTGTATGCCATTGTGACTTTTAGCTGTTGCAAAAGGCTACATAATGATTGATTCATTAAGGTCCAGATAACTTCAACCTTCTGAGCAACAATAAAGCTTTGCACGCCACCAAGTTCTTCCAACACCTGTGATTGAAGGGATGACCTTTGGGAAGGAAAAAAGATTTCAAATTATCTGTTCATCCATATTTTATTAAATTCACCCTGTGAGGGGATGGCTGGTGCAATACTGCCTGGAAATGAAAGTGACATCTCATTTCAGCTGAAGCACCAGATAATTTATGGATTTTCATGCCTAGGTTTCAGAATGCTGGCCAGGTTAAAATCTGCAAGGTGAGGTGGGAATTAGCAGCTCTCTGAACCAAATGTCTAAAGTTAGAACTTCATTTTTAAGCCCATGGTAGCATCAGTGAGATTAGTTAGCCATGATGTCAGATCAGTTCCCACTTACCAGTCCCTAACATGAGATGGTTGTAGATGAATTGCAGTAAATTTAGGTTTGAGTTAAGTATTCTGGATATCATCTTTCTGACTTACGGTGAAGTATGTTGCGTCGGCTCTTTGACCCTAACAGGCAATAGAATTATCAGGACTTGTGTAAAACTAATAGATGGATTTGGTTTTTTGTCCAAATGTTTTCTGTTACTCTTTGGAATGCTTTAAGGAAGAAATGCATTATATGTAGAAAAATATCCTCATTAAGTATATGTAATAATGTGTGAATGATCTGAGATCTTAAATCTGATTTCACTGGGAATCATAATTTGATTATAAAATTTAGCCATTCCCCCCCCCCTTTGTTTTGTAGTCTTTTTTCCTCTGCTGCTATGTCCATTGATAATGACAGTATTTGTCTCATAGATTATCTGGTACATAGTAGATAAAAACCAGATGGTGGTGGAGGTGATTGTTTCTGCAGAGAGAGACATTGTAGTTTCTTTTTTTTTTAAAGATGCGTAGCCTGTGCTGCACCCAAGTTTTAGAAGTAATTGTGGAAATAATCTATCCTCAAAGGGGATTCCTTTTCACTTTGGGCATTGATTACCCCACTGGTTCTCTCTCCACCTACTTCCTTCACTAGCAGGCCCTGTTTAAAACACGCTTCCCCACACCCAACAGCTGTGGGTTCCTATTGTCACTCAGTGGTTTGGCCAGAACTGTTGCTTGTGTTGGATTTCTTTTTTCCTTCCCATTCATCCATCATAGATGGACTCAATTTTACCTTTTCTTTCATTAAGATATGCAGGTGGTAGAAACGTTAAAATTCAGAGTGCTATGTTGACTTAAGAGCGTTATAAAGTTGCTTAACTGCCAGGTAGATAAACTTGTGGAATCTTAGGGGAATAGAATCTTATCCAAGTATGTTTTTGATGTGTCACGAAAGTCTGAGCCTCGTAAAAACGTTTCCTCAAGATCTTTTCCAGAGATGTGCTGGTTATGTATCCTTGAACATCTTGTGCTTCATCTTACTAAGCGCTGAGAGCTTTGGTGCCACATAAACTCTCACATTTTCTTTCGTCTGTTATCCCTGTAAGCTGCACAGTATTGTTGTATGTATCAGGTGCATTATGTAAATGACCGATGTATGATACAGAGGGAAACTAACATAACTTTAAAAGAGAGTGAAAATTTTTTATTCTGTGAAGTATCTTTGAATAATGAAATATTTATGTTCAGTTTATTCTTTTGCTATTTCTTCTCCTTTTCTATTTGGTCATGTTTTCCATTGCTTGTCCTCTTAATTATGTGCTTAGTATTTTGGTGTGTCTTTCTGGATGTCTTCCTGTATGTATACTTGCATGTGTGTATACAAAAATGGGATCATACTTGTCTCAGGTTAGTTCCCCTGCTGGGAAGCACACTTTGGGGCTGGGACAAGCTTGTAGGAGGAGGTGGTTGAGAGGGTGATCTTGGGATTGGTATGGAGGGCAGGAGGCGGGGAAGGGACTAACTGTGCAGAGAGAAGAAACCAGAAGCTTCCACGTGCCCCAGAGCTGCATGGAGTTGAGGAGAAGGCATGGCTTCCTAAGAGACAACTGTCTTCTGCTTAGGCCCCCAGGGAGCCTCAGTGGGGATAAGAGATCTTTCATGCTAAGGGGGGTCTGGCCAGCACATCACAGCTTTCGCAGTAACACTTGACACTCTGCCTCCTTAGCCCTCTGCCCACCCATGCAACAGTCCATCATTTCTCACCATTTTCTTAATTTTTCTGCAGGGCTTCATAAGCTTCACTTATCAAATACTTCAAGGGATTCAGAAACATCAAAGCCGTCAGCAAATGGGCATCACAAAGCACTGTGAGATACGCAGCAGCACTCTGCCATCGAGAGACCCGGGAGGCCCAACTCCCGCCGTCCCCGTCAGTCAGAAGTGACGTGCACTGACTGGGCTTCACATTTAGGGCCTGGGCCTGGCAGCGCCATTTCTTTCATAACCTCCTAAGAACTTGGCTGCTGCAGGCCTTCTTCTCATTTAACTGTGTGATGGGCCCCACAGTTTCCAGCCAAACGCAGGCTTCGTAGGGCAGCACGTTTTTCTGTGGACACATTTGCTTGCGGCACTTGGTACAGTCACCCGTATGAGAATGTTAGAAAAGGCAACTTCGGGGCTTCCTAAGAATTCAGTTAAATCCCAATATCTATTTTATTCAAAATGGAGAAGCTGACGTGAAAGGCATCCTTGGTACTTGGATGCGAAGTGAAGGCCCTGCAAAGATGTGGGTTTATAGATGCCATTACTCCAGCGGGTGCGTTGGAACAGTAGTGTGCAAATGCTATTTTTCACTTCCTTGAAGAAAAAGACAAAAGTGCGTAGTTCTGGTTTATATTTCAGAATGATACTGATTGGACTTGGAGTCAAGAGAAAAATATGAAATTCTTTTGAAAACCTGATCCGTGGTAGAACACCACGGGAATACCTTCCACTGTACAGTGTAGTAAGCTACATGGGAAGTCTTATGTACTCACACTTCTCTGACCTCTTCTGTGTGTAGGATTCAGTGTTACCTCTCATGACATAGTTGCCAGTGTCGAATACCCTTGTAACTTAGATTTTTGCCTTATAGGCTATCTGTACACTTGATTTTTTTTAAAGCTCTTTTCCAAAAATCCCTCAGTTCCTTGTGCTCCTGTGTCCATTATGGAACTACAAATGCTCTGTGGTAGAAACCCCTTCTGTCAACACATTCTTCAGGCCTTGGTTACTTTTGTATATGCCGGTTTAAACCTCGGATTTATAAAAGTACCAGTTTAACACCCAGGTACACAGTGTCAGCATTCATGAGGTAAGAATAGTTTTTCAGTGTTTCATGATCTGATAAACCATTCAGTTATGAAATTGTAAATAATTCTGGGGATGGCTTCTTGACTTTAAGTCCATTGAATAAAAGCTATAAAACTGTACTTTGTGTTACCATCCACTAGGATAGAGTACTGAAAATTGTGCATGCAGAAATAAGAGATGAGCCCCTTTGCACACACTTGGTAGTTATGCAGTCTCTATAAATACGTATGTTCACATGCACTATGTGTATGGCAACAGATTGTCTGTGTTCAGACAAAAGTAAAAGAACATTTTCCTCAAATTGTTGAGCTTAAAGGGGTTTTTTTGGAGAAATTTATGAAAATCAGGCTGTATATATTTGACATAAAAAATTTCCACTTAGAGCCAAAATAATAAGAAAAGTTTATCTGTGTATTCCTAAGTTCCATTGAGTATACCTCTCCTTTATTTATACCTCTGCATTTCCTTCTGAGCTTCTCTTCCCATTAAAATACAGCCCAGTTTTAAGATAAAAGAACATTTTGTGATTCTAAACAACACTCCGTAAATACCACCAGTCTAGTATTGGTGAATTTCTCTGCATAGGATCTGCATACTGAGAAAATTAATAGAAACTGGTTGTTTCCTAATTTCACTGGTAATTACACCTATTTAAACATTAATTGCAAGCTTTGATTTTTACTGAAACTTGCTTGCAGGCAATCCATATTTTGAGCAGACTAGGTCAAGGGGAGAAGAAAAAGAAAGTTCTTTAAATAAAAGAGCATCGCTTGTAACTTACACTGGTTTCCGGGCACATCCGTAGGAAGTTCTTGGGTATTTGTAAGATGTCTGAAAATTTCTGAGTAAAATATTAAACTTTTCAATGTCTGTATCAATTCTTTGTTCATTTGAAAGTTTCTTTCCATCGGAAAACTTAGGCCAGGTTTGATTAGTAAGCAGTGAAATGTATTCTAAAGTCCTACAGCTGTTACTGGGTGCGTCTTCATTGCTTTTGAGACAGAGGATACGCCTCACATGGAGGGACAGTTTTGAACCTTGGGTCTCAGATGCCTTTTATGGGAACAAATGCAGGTAGTTATATACTCTGCTGCATGATTACAACCACTTCCGGGGTTCTACAAAGAGTATATTCCTGGTTACGTACACAGAGTCTTCCTCTTGAGTGAGGGACTTAGCAAATGCATGTGCTTCCATTGGACACACACTGGAGGCTGGCTGCATGAGGCCATGACGGAAACTGGTGGCGCCACACTGAGGCCAAGCACTTGAAGTCTGGCAAGGACAGGCGCCCCTCAGGTCTTTGATTTGTTGCAGTTACTGTGCTAGCGAGGGAGGACGCAGATGGCCTGATGCCAGAGCGCCCTGTGCCCGCGGTCAGAGTGGCCCCGGGGATGGCCATTCCGTTCTCGTTGGGGGGCGGGGTCTAGGTGACTGTGTGAAGTCAGATGCTCCGTTGACTCTTTCTCACCTTTGGATCAACTTTAAAGGGGCATTAGACACTGTAGTTAAAAAGTTTCTTGAGGAGACTTGGCCAATTCTTCATATTAATTGGTTCTGCAATACTTATTGTAAAATTATAAATTTTATAGGTTATAACATTTGTAATTTTTACCGGCTTTTCCAAGATATTTCTTAGATTTAGTATTTACTTAGCTTTATATATATTCTAGATAAAAATAGACCTGCTCTAAAAGAAGAGACTTATGTGAGAATTGCACGCACACGCACACTCACGCACATACAGGTCAGCTCCTTCAGTGCCACGCTGAGAGACTGGTTAGTGGATGAGCGTGAAATCGGCTGCATGGTTTGACTCTTGGATGTATTCAAGGCGTGTATGGTGTACACCTGTCCTTAGGCCTTGCTCTGCGGGAGCACAGTAGACCTCTCTGTGCCTCCATAACCACTTAACCTGCTAGAGCGTAGGCTTACATCCCTGGAAAACCCTATGTAGTTTTCTTTGTTGTTAGCACAGTATTTAATGTATAAAGGCGGAGTTCTTAAAATGATTTTTTAAAAATACGAGCATATATTCAGTACTGACTTTAAAAAAACTGGTATGATGTTACTTTTAAAATAATGTTTAGATGCACTGGTATATTACTTTTGTTTACAGTATTTTGTTTACAGATTATTTTTTGTGTTTGTTTCTATGAGATACTTTTAGTGTGACTTTTTAAATGTCTTAGAAATTAAAATTTTACAAAAAGTGATTTCATGTTTTGGTTTATAAGCATTCAAATGTGTTTTTGTTTTGGCTTTAAATCTTAAATACCATTGTGGCTAAAACTTTAGGGTGTATGTAGGTAACTTCCATGTCAATGTTATAAAGGGCAGTAATGGTTCTGGTGAGATGTTAGACTGAGGAAGAAGTGAATGTTTTCTCTCTCTTTTTGTTGTGGAGTTATTGGTAGATGAATTTCTTTGAACCATTTGCAACTAAAATGTAGCATCAGCAATTGAAATCATGTGTGTCGTCTAATTGTTTGAGTTACTTAGATATATTTGATTCTTCTAATCTTTTCCATAAAAGGACTGAGCCACGCCTACTTGTGGTCTGGGCAGCTTAATCCAGAGCTCTCAGAAGAGTAAATGGCATTGCCATCTGGTGACTTAGACAGAAGCCTTTATAGCAGTGGCTTTCCAGCTCTCTGACCGCAGGAAGAAATACTGTTTACACTGTAACACACACACACACACACACACACACACACACTTCTATACATGTAAACACTTAATTAACAAAGTAGTACCTACTTTTACTGTATGTGATGCGTGCTGGCATTTTCTGTTCTCTTTTTTAGAATACTAGACACAGACCACACTAATACTAATGAATGGTCAACTTTAGTTTGAAAAACGTGACTTCCGGGATCTAGTTGAAGGATGAAGGAACACAAACTTTTTTTGGCTTTTGAATATTAGGTAAAATTCATTATTGCAAATACTACTGAAGCAAAAGTATTATCTGTGCAGATTACTTGTTGCACTGCAAATAATGTAATTAAAATCAATAGAAATTGCCGAAACTCTAAAAATGGATTATAGAATTTCAAAACTAGGTGGTTGATCCGTATTTCTTGGAGGAGTAGAGCTGGGACCTAGTTTTGAAGAGAAGTTATTTAATTTCCTACTCTGTGTAATTCAATTAGGTAAAAGTGTTTTCAAGTTCAAATGTGATCAGATAGGAAATTCAGACAAACCCATTTATTCTTGAATGTGTTTTGGTATTCTGTTCTTCCTAAACATACTGGAGAAGTCAAGTTCACAAGTATAAGTTATGCAAAGTAGGGTAGCAGCACCCGATGTATATGATTTCTGAGGATCGATGTGAGCAGAAGGATCTTTAGTGTCTGAATGTGAGGAGGTAGAGACTTAAATATGAATCCGAGGAAGAAAGTTTTATCAGTTATTAAAAATCCCAGGTGAATGTTTCAGTGTCTTCTCTCTTGGAAAGCTCTTACTTACTCTAAGATAGACTGCTGACCAACAGTGGCCTCTGAGAACCCAGGACATGCTCTAGTCTTGAGTGCTATAGCTTTTCTGTCATGCCGTGTAGCTGGTATGTTATATTGAATGGCTATAAGTCCTCACAAATAGCTTTTTACATATATCTTAGCACATTGTTCTATTATTGCTTTAGAAATTAGTGGTGAAAAACTTGTTTTTTTCTGTACTCTCAGTACTTCACTTTTAGCCACCAAATGTGTGCGGGGTTTTTCTACCCAGGCTGTTCTCCCAGTTGTCTGTGGATACCACATCAGTGACCTGGAGTTTGATTTAATTCTGACACTATCTACGTGGAGTCAGTGCAGCCCCTCAGTCCCCTAACATTGGCTCCCCACCCCCACTTCAGATGCCAGTCCCAAGTCCAGGCTGTCCCATGTGCTTTGACCAAGCAGCTGTAAATCAGGGGTTCCCACCACCCCCTCTGGTTCAGGGACGTGCTAGAGCAGCTCACAGAACTCTGGGACACAGTTTACTTACTAGATGACCTGTTTATCCCAGGGGGTACGCCTCAGGAACACCAGAGGGAGGAGATGCACGGGACCGGGGATGGGGGTGTGCACAGAGCTTCCGTGCCCCTCCAGGGGCACCAGCCTCCAGGCACCTCCATGTGCTCGCCACCTGGAAGCTCTCTGAATCCCTTCAGTTAGGTGGATTTTTTGTTTGTTTGTTTATGGAAGCTTCACTACAAAGACATGATTGATTAAAGGATTGGCCTTAGTGATTAGCTCAGCCTCCAGGCCTTCCCCACTCGCCAGAGGTCAGAAGGGTGGGACCAAAAGTAGTTGGTTCCACTGGCCATCATCAGGGGCTTTCCAAAAGACAATCTATTAGCATAAGTTCAGGTGTGGTTGGAAGGGGCTTCTTAGGGATATCAGAAGATACCTTGATTTTCTTTCTTATCACTTAGGAAATGCCACAGGTTTTGGCTCTGTGCCAGGAATGGGGAGGAAGACCAAATACATATTTCTTACCATAAATTACTTGGAGGGGCCTGGTTTGGAGCAGGGACTTGCATCAGGCGACCGGGGACCACTATTTACTAGATACCCACGTCCTGGATCAAAGACAATGCGCATTTTCAAACTACTTCCGGAAAGACCCTATCAGTACATACTCTCATCAACAGCATGTGAAGATGTGTTTCTCTTGCCAACACTGGATTTTGCCAGTCTTTTACATGAGTGCCAACCTGAGAGGCAAATACTTGTTTTTCTTTGCATTTTTAATAACTATTGGGGGAACTTAATTTTTTATCAGCTATGTGTATTTCTACTTTTGGGGAATTATCATTAAATATACTTAGCCTATTTTTCTTCTGGTATTTCATAATTACTGTTTTATAAAAACTCTGTATATTATGGATTAAATGTTTGTCTTTCTGAGGTGTGTATTCTTCCTGACTGTTTTTTAACTTGTCCACATTGGTTTTTGTATATTTTTTTCTGTGTGGAAAATTTAAATTCTGAAGTAATCAAAATTTGCAATTTCCCATAATTTTTTGGTGTCATACTTAGACCTTCCCTACTCTAAGACTTTTAAATATATTTCCCAGTATTTTTCCTTATCTACTTGAGGTATGATTCACATACTATAAAATTCACTCTTAAAGCACAGGGGTCGTCGATGTGTAGTATATTCCTGGGGTTGTGCAGCCATCCTCACCATATGATCCCACATCATTTTCATTACCCTGAGCCTAGCTACTCTTATGTCTTTATTTTTTTTCATAATTCATCGACATGTTATCTGGATTTATTTTGCTGGAAGGAATGAGATAATGGTTGTGCAGAGACGTCCGTGGCCACACAGCAACTATTCATGCCAGGCAGCCTAGCCCCAGTTTTATTCAGGGTGGCAGTGTGCCCAGCTTCCTGTGCAGGTGGGTGTGGCCATGGGGCTGGAATCTGACCTGGGAGTTTATGCAGCCCATCCTGTGGGACCTCCAGAAAGATGACTTGGAAGAAGCCAGTCAGCCAGAGAGGAAGCACCATCCCACCTCCCCTGTTCCCTCCTGCTGATGGTGCCGTGGATGGGACAGGATGTGACAGCTGGGACTCCAAGAGCCACTTCAGATTGTGCATTGCCTGTGAAGACAGCTGGAAGAGTTTGGATGCCCACTGAACGCACCGCTGCCCTGCTGCCCTCCTAGGCTTCTGCAGAGACAGCGACTCCTTGTGTAACCAGACCGCTGCATTCAGGTCTGCTAGGAATGTCCGAATGCAATTCTAACCTATCCTTGACTAGTTTTATTGTTTCCCCAAATGACAGGCCAGTGTGACAGAACCATACATTATGTTTGATTTGAGTGCTGTTTTCATGAACTAAATGTCCATAAATATTGAGCTTTTTTTCTACATTTTATATCTTAAATTCTCTAATTAATGTATCTCATAAACTGATTTTCAAGAATATTCTCCTGTTACTGTACCAAACAAACACTAATCTTGTGTTTTGAATTAATACTTAAGTTTACACTTGACTTCCGTAGTTCTTATCAGTGACTTGTTCTGCTGTCTGGAAACCTCCAGTTAATGTGGTGACTTTACCATATACACTTGAATTATAATTTGGAAGATGTATTCTTTTAGACACATTAGCATTCACGTTGGCAAAGAAAGTTCTTATTCACAAAACATCCCAGAGACAGTTGACAAAATTTGAATAAAATGTGTAGACTAGATAACACTTCCTGTATCATTGTCAATTTCTGGTTTAGATAATTTTACTATGGCGTGTTAACATGAGGGGAAGCTGGTGAAGGGTATAGGGGAATTCTATTTTTGCAACTGTTTAATCACTTGCAAGAATTTAAAGTATTTAAAAATCCCAGAGATATTGTATAAGAAAGAACTATGCTGTAAAATAATTGTGCTCGGTTCAGAAACACATACCTAAAAATTTTAACTCATGTGCAAAGTGCCCTTAAGGGTGGAAGCCAGGTACTTGCAGAGGGTGGAACAGAAAGAAGTGTGTGGTCTCAAGGGCACAAATGTCTGTGGTCCCTGACTTGCCCGCCTCAGCCCTGTGAACGTGGTCTAGCTAGGCTGCATCCAGAGATGATCATGTATTCACAAAGGGCCTTGTGCTACTCCTCAGCCACCTCCAGGACAGGCTTGTACAGGCATTCTTTTGATATTGTATACCAGCTATTTTTTTTTTTTTTAAGATTTTATTTATTTGACAGGGACACAGCGAGAGAGAGAACACAAGAAGGGGGAGTGGGAGAGGGAGAAGCAGGCCTCCCGCTGAGCAGGGAGCCAGATGCGGGGCTCGATCCCAGGACCCCGGGACCCCGGGACCATGACCTGAGCCGAAGGCAGATGCTTAACGACTGAGCCACCCAGGCACCCCATACCAGCTGTTTCCTTGACAAACTGTAGTGTGTGTGTTTCCACATGTAGGCCTGAGAACCTTGCAATTTTTCAACAAAAGTCATGAAAAATCTGCCAAGGACAGTTGTAGTCTTTGATCGTAGGTCTTTCCCTCTCTGGGCAGAAATAGGTCATGACTTAGGCTTATGAATTTAATATTACTCCTGATTATTGGGGCTTATAGAGAACTTTATCCAGTAACACTATTGTGCGAACCAGAGATAAAATTTTAAAATTCTCACACCATTTTAGAGAAGTTAGATGTATGTCTACACCCCTGCAGAAAGCAGAAAGCAAGCATGGGATTGGGTTCAGGATACACTACTCTCACATGTGGCTCATTGGCATATTGAATATTTTAAGCCGAAGGACTTTGAGGTTTACTCTTCTTCCCTAAACCAGGTCCAAGACCCTCTTGTGAGAGATGTCCTCCCTGTACCCAGAGGAAAGGAGCATTCTCACCTCAAGGAATCCTAACTGGCCTTGCTGAGTTCCCGAGTTCCCCAGTTTCCACACTTACCTCCCATTCCTTAACCTATCGTATTTCCCCCAGCTGCCTCCTCTTCATCAGATGCAGTGGAAAGTAGGTCTGTGTCTTTGGGTCTTCATCTCTTTATGGAGCCTCGCATGTCAGCTCAAACTTCTATTAAATATATTTGTGTGCTTTTCTCCTGTTAAGCAGTCTTGGTCAGTTTAAGACCCAGCCAGGGATCCAAGAGGGTCAAGGAAGACTTTTCTTCCCCCCTGCTGTCTTTTAATACAGTTCATATTTTTGTCTTGATCCAAGATGGATCCAAACAACTGCTCTTGCTACCGAATTGTTGGCTACTGATCAGCTCTGCTAAAATTAAATTATTTGGGGTAGGTATTTCCCAACTTTAACAATCACATCCACCAAGTTACTTTGGATTATCTTAGTGAGTGGTTTTAGAAAAGTATATTAAGAAATAGCATTATTCAAAGCCAGTTATGCTGTGGATGCTTTACTAGGATGTCATTGTGGTCATCCATCTAAAAGATAACTTTCCAAGCCCAGAATATCTTGGTTACGTTGTAGGGCATTGATCTTCATGGCCTCCCTCCCCAGCATGTCTGTGTAGTATGTACATGGCAAGCAAGTGGCCTGGGGGCTTTGCTCAACTCAAAACATGTGATTTTGCCAGTTCAACATTTAAAAAATTTAGTCAACGTTAACAAATCACAAAAATTCCACAATACCATAGCAATTTTCACTAAAAGCTCAAACTTCAGTGTCTTTTTTTAATTGAAATATAGTTGTCATACAACATTCCATTAGTTTCAGGTGCATAACATAATGAGTTAACATATATATAGAGAGAGAGAGAGAAATGATCACCACCACACAGTTACACATCTTTTTTTTCTTGTGATGAGAACTTTTAAGATTTACTCTCAGCAGCTTTCAAATATGTGATACGGTATTGTTAACTGCCGTTGCCATGCTGGACGTGACATCAGTGGGACTGACTTTATAACTGGAAGTTTGAACCTTTGATCACTTTGACCCATGTCGCCCACTCCCCACTCCCCATTTTAGGCAACCATCAATCTGTGTTCTCTGTATCTATGAATTTGGGTTTTTATTGTTGTTTTTTAGATTCTACATATAAGAGAGATCATATGGTATTTGTCTTTCTCTGACTTACTTCATTTAGCAGAATGCCTTTGAGGTCCATCCATGTCCCAAACGGCAGGATTTCCCTTTTATGTAGCTGCATAATATTTCAGTGTATATGTATGCCACATTTATTTATCCATTCATCTATCGATGGACGCTTGGGTTATTTCCATATCTTGGCTATTGTGAATAATGCCACAGTGGACACAGGGGTGCTAATATCTTTTTGGATTAGTGTTTTCATTTTCTTTGGATAAATACACAGAAGTGTATTTGCTAAATCATACAGTAGCTCTATTTTTAACTTTTTGAGGAACCTCCATACTGTTTTTCCACAGTGGCTGCACCAGTTTGCATTCCCATCAACGGCGCATCTTTTCATGTGCCTGTTGGCCATCTGTAGGTCTTTGGGAAGATGTCTATTCAGATTTGCCCATTTCTAAATTGGATTATTTATTTTGCTATTAGGTTGTATGATTTCTTTATATATTTGGATATTAACCCTGTAGCAGGTGTATGATTTGCACGCATTTTCTCCCATTCAGTAGGTTGCCTTTTCATTTTG